TTTTGGTAGAGCCATGGAGATGGACAATGATATACTGAAATATCTCCTTTAATTCATGAGAGTATGGGGGGATGAAGTATTCAAACTGTAGATCTGAGTAGAGGCATCCATTGATGAAGCCATGCAGATTTTGGAGTAGCTGTGATCCCATGAGATGCTTGAACAGAAAGAGAGAGAGATGAGAGTTCATGAAGACCCTTTGCCCCCAGGGAGAGAAGAAAACCTCTGTTCCCAGAGATGATCACAGAGACAGATGAAGAGAACCTTTGCCTTTGAACAGCTCATCCTAAAAATAATACCCCAGGAGCTCATGGCCCATGGACACACCTCTAGGAAGGCTGTGAAAATGGGAGGAATTTCACAATGCAGAACTTTTTGCCCAGGCAGCTGCTATTTGGGGAAATGAAAAGCCATGAGAAAACTGTTTCTTATGGAGAAGTCTCCATGGCATGACAAGAGAAAACTCCCCTCCCTACAAGGACTGATGAAAGACTGTTGTATAGTTGGTACTGCTTTAACATCCCAGGTTTTGAATTTACATTGTCAGTTGGGAAAGGAAAAATTTGGGCAGGGGAAGGAAAGGTGTTCTGGAGGTTTTATTCTGATGCTTCTTATTCTTGTAGTCCTGTTAATAAAGTTTCTTTATACCTTTTAAGCCTGTTTTGCCTTTCCCCTAATCCATATCTCACAGCAAAAAAATGAGTAAGTGCCCTGGTGGTTTTAGCCAGCACTAAAATCTACCACAACAATACTGATTCCAAGTTATTGAAGACAACATTCTGAAAGATATGGTGAGTAGAAACACCATTTTTAAGAGAGATAAAATTGAGCTGGATATCCTTCTAGTGCCTAACACCCAGAAAACAGGATGAATCTGTAATAGGAAAGGTTTTTTTAACCTTCTTTCTTTGTTGTTTTCAAACTCAAGCTGTATGAGCTTGTATGCAATTTTTTTAATAAAAAGTCCAAGATTCATGAAATAAACATTGACAATTAGGCAACACCACGGAAGTCTCTCTCTTCAAAGGCAGGTCAGAGAAGCAGAGAAATATGCAGGTTGCCACAGTTGGCAGAGAACCTTCTGTCACGTTTCTTTTTTTTTGTTTGTTTATTTTGGTGAAAGCACTTCTGGCACCACCCTGGTCCTGATGGAATCATTGTCATAATTCCATGTGTTTCAATTTTCTATTATATTTTTTCTTTGGACAAAAGACAAGGTGGATTCAATCTCTGAAGCATCTGGAGCATCATCTTATCAATCAAACAATTTCAATAACATGCCATAAGTAATTTTCAAGTTCATGAGTTTTTAAAATCTGATTCTAGCTTTAAGTTCAGCTGGCTGCTCAGGCCATCATTTGTTAAAAAAAATATCTGGAGACAGAACTTTGGCTGTCAGGATGACTTTCTCTGTTGTGTGCTTAGCAGTACTGTGAAAAATTTGCAGCTTTGCACAACTTCTCAGTACCAAATCGACTCTCAAGGTACCCCAGGGAAGCTGTTGAGTTTGTTAATATTGCATCATTGACAAAGACAGATAAACCTCTTTCATTCTTTTCTATTTTTGGCAACTAATTTAGAACGCCATTTTCCAACTCTATTAATCATGCCTTCAAATATATTTCAAATATACATCCATCTGTCTAGAAAAACAGAAAATTTTCCCTGGAAAGGGATTCTCTGGCAGCAGGCTGGCCAACTTGGTGAACCAGGCTTTGAACTGAAGGACTCAGGTTAGAGAGGCCAGAGACAATGTTCACGACATCACATCCAGCTGAGGAATAAGCCAGACCCACCAGAGTAGTGACAAACGTTCCCTACCTGCCTCTCATGACAAGATCCAGAAGGCAAACCACCTTGAAGGTGTGAATGGCTGTGGTGGAGCCTCTGTCACCGTTTCTGGGAAATCTGCACACTTGATCACCTCTCTGAAATGCCTGTACACCAACGCACACAGCATGAGAATAAACAGGAATTATGCAAGATCTGTGTGAGGTTGCAGGGCCACGTTCTCATTGCAGTTACAGAGAAATGGTGGGATAGCTCACATGACTGGAATGCTGTCATGGATGGCTATATCTTTTTTAGGAAAGACAGGCCAGGAATGTGAACTGCTCTTTATGTGAGAGACAAACTGGGATGTACTGAGCTCTGCCTAGGGCTGCATGAAAAACAGAAAAAGAGCTTACAAGTAAGAATTCAGGGACAGGCAATGTGGGTGACACTCTGGTGGGTGTTTGCTACAAGCCACTCCATCAGGAAGAGGAAGTCAGATTTCTGCAGTCAGCTGGAATGAGCGTCCCTCACAGTCCCTGGTGTTTGTGGGGAGCTTCAGCCACTGTTTTCTGCTGAAAAGACAGCCGGGCACACACTGCCCAGAAGGTTCCTGCAGAGCATGGATGATAAATGACTTGGATGCAGGACTTGAAGGTACACTAAGTAAACGTGCCAACAAAAATAAATTGGGATGAGATGTTGACTCCCTCGAAGGCAGAGAGACCTTGACAAATTAGAGAGCTGGGCAATCAAGAGCCATGTAAAGTTTAACAAGGGCAAGTGCCAGATTCTGTGTCTGGGACAGGACAACCCTGGATGTATGGACAAACTGGGGAATGAGAGGCTGGAGAGCAGCCCTGTAGAAAGGCACCTGGAGTTCCTGGTCAATGGCAAATTAAGTATAAGTCAGCAGTGCCCTGGAAGCCAAGAGGCCCAAGCATGTCCTGAGGTGCATCAGGCCCAGCATCGGCAGCTGGGCAAGGGAGGGGATTGTCCCACTCTGCTCTGCACTGGGGCAGCCTCACCTCAAGTGCTAGGGGCAGTTTCGGGCACCACAATATAAAAGGGACATAAAGCTATTAGAGAGTCACCAAAGGAGGGCAATGAAGATGGTGAAGGACCTTAGGAACAGCTGAGGTCACTTGGTCTGTTCAGGCTGAGGAGGAGAGGACTGAGGGGAAACCTCATCACAGTGAACAGTTTCCTCACAGGGGGGAAGTAGAGCAACAGGCACTGATCTTTTTTCTTGTGAGCAGCGACAGGATGTGTCAGGGGAGGGTTAGGTTGTGTATTAGAAAAAGGTTTTTTACACAGAGGGTGTTTGGGCACTGAAACAGGCTTCCCAGAGAAATGGTCACAGCACCAAGTCTGACAGAGTTCAAGAAGCATTTGGACAATGCTCACAGGCACATGGTGTGATTCTTGGGCTCGTCCTTTAACAAGGTCAGGAGTTGAACTTCAATGATTCCTTCTGGGTCCCTTCCATTTCAGGATATTATATGATTCTATGATTCTGTGGTTAGCATTTTTTTAGTTAGAGATTTAAAATATTTTTTTTTTCTGAAAGTCAAATAAAATAGTGCAGAGAATGCCACAAAACTGAGAGGCTAGAACTGCTACATTCAGAAATTTGACTACAGATGCATGTTTTCTGCTCAAAAGAAAATCTTCACTGTTTAAAGCAACCGTTTAAACAGCCTTTCCTAAATAGAGCAGAAGAGTCAGCAAACTTAGGGTTGCACAAGGCTCAGTCAGGCAAATGTCTGGAGCACATCTTTATTTAGTAAGGAAAGGTAGAACCATTCTACCATGTTCTGACTTTTCAGATATGTGCTACCACTGTTACAAGGCCCATTGCAAATTACTATTTCCACATTCATATAATCTTCTATTATCTCTGCTCAGTCATTGTGAGGCAGCCTAATCTATTCCTCACCATACAGACAATTTTTTTTCTAACCACTAAATAGCATTTCCCATTTGGATTCTGATATCCAGCAATGGGCTAATTTGTTTAAAGACTGTTTCTACATACCCCACTAAAAAATGTCATTTTGCAGCCAGGGAGTTTAAATGCTTTCCCAACCTCTAAGTTTAACCCATTGGTTGTGTGTGTATGGGCTTATGCGTACATGTAATTGTTATTTAAGTCAATGGCATAAATGACAATTACAAAATATTGTAGAGACTGTATGATGAGTTGTCATAATAATGATTTCAAGATTCTTTTTACTGCTGAATTACTAGTAAAAATTAATTTATGAGCCCTAAGTTGGAAAGTACATACATAGCTGCTTAACACCAAGAATGTATACAGTGGGAATGATCTAGAACTAACCTAGTTTTATATTAGTCTTAGATAGGGGTGAGGTAGTAATGACTACCATGGTTTTCCCTTCATATGAGGCCATAAGGATAATGTGAGACCACCTGAAAAATTGAAAAAATAAAATAAAATAATCCCACTATCACTTGAAGTAGTGAGGTGAATGCATAAAGAGACTGTCATATTTCTTATTACCATACTTATACACTGGGGGTTTTTGAGAACTTTTACTTGCAGATGTTAGCTAATTTGTCTTATGCATCATCTCTCATTGACATCTGACTTTGCACCTTCTTTTCAAACATATCTGCAGCTTGTTTGCATGTTCCTAAAACAAATGCAAAATGTAGGAGTCCACAAGACGATAACATTGACTGCAAAATTTGGAAACTGGTCACTTTTGATCAGGAAAGCAAACCATAATGTTTGTTTTGGGGATGGTCTACTTTTAGTGTGTTTATTAATCTAAGTAGCCACAGTGCCCCTGGGAAGTCTCTCTATTTCTGACCCCATTTCCATACCTCTCTGAAGAAGGACTTCCAGTAAGGTTAGCATGGCAACTCAGCTTAATGTTATGGGGAAAGGGATATATTAATGTTATCAGTTAAATACATAAACATAATTATATGTTTCACAAGAAATTCTTATATTTCAGCTTGATTTTTGATGAAAAAAACTCTGAAATATCAAAATTTCCCATGGGAGAGAGAGGTAAATTTACATTTTGTTTCTTAGCTGTCCTTAGCCAATTTAAACCTAAAGGGAACACTTGGAAGTGTGATTTAGCATTAAGTTCTCTGCTGGCCGCAAAATGAGCACCTACTCAGCACTACAACTCACAGGTTAAATGAGTTATATGATGTTACAGGAGGTCAACTCAGTCTGCTTACCTGGCTCTCCATCTGCTCTTGAATGCCATTTTTTTTGAGATGGCCTTCTGGCAGAAGACTTGAGGCTAGATAAATTATTCTGTGGGTGACAGGCTGCTCCTGGCTGCTTTTTCATCATTCTGAGCTGCATTGCTCATGTGCTACACACTTCCAAGTGTTGTGATAAGTCTCTGGGGGAAAACAGTGGTGAAGAACAGGCCGGTTATCACTGTCGGAACCATGAATCCATTAATCCTTCTGCCTGACTTTCAAATTGCCTGTGGGCCAGAGAACAGCTGGAAGTGCAAACCATCCCTGTTGGAGGAAGACACCAATTATCCTTTTTCCTAGGACAGTTCTATGGGTATTTGTGTTCCAGCATTTAGGTATAGGAAGTTCTCAAGCCTAACCTGAAAGGAGGTTATAACAAGATGAGGACTGGTCTCATCTTCCAGGTAACAAATGTCAGGAAATGGCCTCAAGTTGTGCCAGGGATTTTAAATTAGAAATTAGGAAAAAAATCTTATTTGAAAGGGAATTTAAGCATTAGAATAGGCTGCCCAGGATAGTGGTTGAGACACCATCTCTGGAGGTGCTCAAAAAACATGTAGATGTGGCACTTAGGGACATAGTTTAGTGGAGGACTTGATTTACCTCAAAAAATTTACTGCACATATTGCAGATGAGACTTTTGTAGCTAAAACGAGTACTAGAACATGGGAATGTTAAGGCCTCTTCAGTGGAGCTATACAGTATTTTTCAGCAAATAAATAAATTCCCAAACTGAAGCCTAAATTAAAGTTATTTATGAGTGTCCAATCTGTCTTGTACAAGGAAGTAAAAGTACTATTAAGTGCATTACAAAGAGAAGTGTGGTAAAGTGTGTCTTGTATATGTCACCTTGCCCTCAGATTTATCCCTAAATCCAGGAGTGCAAACCTTCTCAAGCACGAAGTCAGACAATGTGGAAAAGTAATGTCTAATTCTAGATGACTCTGTGGCTGGCAACATGGCAATACCTCTCTCATATTACAGCAGTGACTTTCTTGACAAGAAGTCTTAAAACCAGGAAGAGATGAGATTCACCTATTCACCTTTCTTTGCAAGATGTCTTCCTTAGGTGTTATTAAACATATGGTAACTTCACCACCACAATTTAAATCACTAGTTTCAAGCTGTTGTTTGGTCTTCCCACGTGTATCAAACATTGGAAAGGACTGTTTTGTTCTAAAGATGCGTTTTTCATAACAGGTGTATGACTTCAATTGCATTGTCCATACATGATTTTATAGTAATAACTGAGAAAACAGAAACTCCTTCTTGCTTTTTTAATTAAAATTTCTTTGAAGAATTTAGGAGTAGCTCACCTTCCCAAGGGTGTATTGCCTGATTTAGATTTCTTTTTGATGAGTAGAGAGTGAAAGAACTGACATACTCTCCCAAGAAACAAGACTTTCTGAGCAAATGTTCTTGTGCAGGTTTGTGCAAATTGATTTGCAAAAACCAATGATCCACCTAAAACTCCTCCAGTCTGAAATTACTTTCTAAAATATTTATCATCAAAGAAAGCGCAGAATTCTTGTTTTAAACTATATTTCAATCTTACATTAGTTTTCCAGCTTTACATGATACTGGGATAATAATGTCTCCCACATGTTAAAATACTCCCCCTGAAAGGACTTCTTTGCTGACATTTTATGCCTCATTTGTAAAGTCAAGCACAAAAGAGAAGTAAAGTTGATAAAATAATGTAAATAAACAATGACAATACTGAAAAGGACACCTATAGGACATCAGAGTTACCAGTTCTCAGAGATGAAGGGAGCAAGTATGTGTCACTGCACAGGCTGGGTTGAGCCGACTCAGGCATGGTCAGCTGTGCCTTCTGAAGCTTTAGCACACAACCCAGAGGCACGCTGGCCTTGGCCTTTATTGAGTAATGACAGGAAACAGTCCAAAACATGGCATGGAATGATATTAAAAAAAAAAAAATGCAAGTTACTATTTCAAAAACAGGGAAAGGGAAGCCTGATGGGAGACAGATGAAGTTATGCATCAGTTTAGGTGTGAACTGCTGAATTGGTTATGTGAAGGGAAAAGGAAGACCTATCATTCTTCTTCACAAAATTGTCTTTCTCTAGGAAAGATGGAATTATTTATGAAAACCCCAAGAGTTGATAGCCCCTTTTTGGAGTGCCATGGTGATAAGCTCATTGGAACATATGTTCTTGTGAGCATTGTTCAGGGACAGAGCTAATTTGTTTTTTTCAGAGCAGTGCAAACTCAAAAAGTGTTAATGCAGCATTGCTACAGGCATCTCATTTTTATATGGCATTTTCTATAATGTGAATCACAGTATTCATATTGGATTCCTCAAAGTAGAACATGAAAGTTTCAGGCACTGATTCATGCTCTTACCTGAAAGCATCACAGTGACAATTTCATGTCAGCTTTACTCCCAAGAGGGCTGGAGGTTCAGCAAAAGCATGGAAGAACCAGTCAAAAGGCTGCAGAAAGAAAAAGCAAAGAAATAACAGTTGGAAAAAGGCAAGCAGCACTTCTGCCTTAAAAAGGGCTTAAAAAGATAGAGTCAAGGGCTTTTATGCTTCTCAGAATACCTCTTTCATTTGAGTGACAAAAATCCATCCAGTCAAAGGAAACCTAGCAGAATAGAAATCACTCCATGATACTTTTTTTAAAAAAAATAACCTGTTGCATTTCCTTTGGTAAATGCTATGTTCAGATACAGTTTGAAACAGCTGGAACAAGTGGAAATTAATAATTTTGCTTAGGCCACAGTAACTGTTTGTTGCATGCATACATAAAGGAAATATTAGAGACAAATTTTATAATGTAGGAGAACAATTTATCTGCCTCGTAGACTCATGACTATTTGAATTGAACATTTGTGACTGAGGAAGCAGTCTGTAATCTAGATCTCCTGTTATTTCTTTCAGTAACTGTCAAGTTTTGATGCTTTCTTCCACAAGGAAGTAAATCTGTTAAGAATTTGATTCTTATATGAAAAATAGATACATTTAATGAGCAAAAGACATGAAGCAGAATTTGGATTTTATCCTGAGGCAGAACTGTGAGACAAGACCTAAAAATATGAATTGCTCTCGCATCTGAAGTGCCATTGGGTTTCTCTTACATGCCATGAATACATTAAGCTGCTTACTTGTTGCCATAATGCAAAACCAGCACACATAACAAAAGTGAAAGGAAGAGAGACAGAAAGAGAGAAAGAGAGGAAAGGCAGGCAGGAAGGCACCCAACCCTATATATACTAATGGCAGTGGAAGGTGATCCAATATTTGGGGTGCTTAGTGAATGAACCCATGAGGGTTCTGAATTAAATAGATCATTAAATTCCCTGGAAAACTGAGAGTTGTGGTCTTTGGCACAGTGATTTATAACATATTCAGGCTAAAAAAATTAAGTTCTTACCATATGTAAAATGCTACCTATGAAGTTATAACTACAGATGCATAGTGTAGATGAGGGCTTTCTTTTCAAAAGAGAAAAATAGCTAGTAGAGCTAGAGAAGCTTGATTCTGAGAATTTAATTTTTAGGGTGAGGTGCTAGGTTTGTATTTTCTTAAATGAAAATGAGAAAAGGTGAACTACAGAAATACATAAACAAATGACACTGTAGAGTCCATTTTTTCTAGAAAAGGAAATAAGACTAGTCTGATGTTTTCTGTTATCACTGAACTTATGAGGATTAAATTATTCCTTTAGCTGAAAAATAAGATCCTTCAGCATTTCAACTTCATCCTCTTACTTTTAATCTGCATTTTTCAAAGTTTTAACATGGAGGTAATTGCCTGTCACTATTGGGTAAAGTAATATGCAGAAAGAAAAAATAGGTTTCCCTTTTGGCTGGAAAGTAACAGTATTGGGACTGGACAATTTAAAATTATTTGTTAGGCTTGAAAGTTAACACCCTGCTGAGGCATTTATATTTCTGTGCACTTTACACAGAAAAACATTGCTGCAGCAGGTCATAGCTGGCTTAAAAAACAGTTTTTCTTCTGCAATTTGTGGTCTTGAGATTTCATTGTCATAATCAAACAACTAAAAGCAACTCTGAATTCTTGATTATACCCCACAAAACAGCCTCCAAAACCAACCAGTTCCTCAGACTGCCTTTCACCAGCCAATCTGGATGAACACAGGTTAAAAAAGAAAAACAAACACAGAAAAACAGGAAGGTGCTTTGACTTTTCACAGATTGTAAGGTAGTGGAGAAATCAAAGTGCAGTCAAGACAAATATTTACTGAAGCTGAGATTTTGCTAGAAATTAACAACTTTATGAGAAGTGACAGTACTGGTATGACAATAATATGACTTGCCAGATCATGTGATTTAGATCACAAATTAATACATTATTATTGAAATATATTTACAATAATCACATTGCCTATAAAATCTAGACTGTATAAAGTCTTTAGCAAAACCACTGAAAATACTGGAAACTGGAAACAGGGAGACTGTCCAGACCTTCAGTTATTCGTAGCATCATGTTAATTAATAATGGTTTGAGCAGGACAAATCTATACCACAGAGGAACAGGGATGCTGAAATCTTTGACTGCAGAAGTCCCCATATTTCTCCTATTTCAAGTGATAATTTTCTTACTACATTCTACAGAAGGCAAAGTCATGCACTGTTGTGCTTGAAAAGCCATGAATGTGGTTCTTCTGGAGTGTAATTAGGAAGTGCGAATATCAATGAGGAAACTCTCAAATGTTTAAAGGCCATTTTTCTTTATATTCATTCATATATATATATATATATATATGTATAATGTATAAATTTATATCTCAAAATAAAGGATTTGAAGAAACAGATTAGTTTCTCTTAATTTTTCTTTTTTGACTTAAATATTTTGAAATTATGCTGATATAGCAAGCATCAAGAAGGTAAAATACTCTCTCTATACAGAAAAACAGTGATTTAGGGTTCTAAACATACAACTGCAAGTGCAGGCATCTACTTTCTTAATTTTCATTGCGAATAATTTTAGAATGGATATTTTGATAAAAGATTGAGCAGTGAGATAAATGGAAGATTTGTTCTATCTCCAAATAAAATTTTCAGGTGAGTTATCCTCAGATGTATTAATTTCAAATTTAGTTTTGCAAATCTATATTTTCAAGTATTTTTCATCATCTTCTTCTTCCTACCCCATTTGGGTGCATTTGGATCACACTTGAAATGTCAAACTACAAAGATTATAATTTTAATATTTGTGTTCATCACTGAAGCTTTCAGGGAAATGTTCAACATATTCATTTCCAAAGAGCTAAAATTTGGTCTGGCAGAGTTAAATGCATTTTAGCACAGCAGCCCTGATTAAATCCTAACTGAACACTAATCCAGCACTGTCTGAATGAGCTGACAGTAGTTACCTATGTCACACTGCTTTCAGCAGCAGAACAGATTCTTCTAGGGATGGATTAGAAGTGGAAAAGGACCAAGCTATCCTAAGCAGACCTATTCTCTTCTAGAGTGTATTTACCCACTGAAAGACAGTCAGTCCTCCCTATCCTCTCTATCATGCTTCTTTCCTCTGTTTTTTGATCAGCATCTTTATGTTTATGGATTTTTAGGAAGCCAATAACCCAAGGAAGAGCAGTAACTTCCTCTTAGTGGGAACTTCAGCTCAATCTCACAACCAGCCTATCTGTACAGGCTGTCTATGACAGATCACTGTCTGCCTCTTATATGTCTATTTCAAAGCAAAATGTTCTAAAAAATTCATATTAGTAGGTGATACTAATGAAATAATGCATAAAAACTGTCAGAGGAGAATACAGTATTTGTTGTTTAATGGTAATTGAACAGTAGAGCAGAATTAGTAGAGCAGATACATACTGGACATCATTAAATTTGAATAGCATAAGTGATAAAGTTATAAGTGATAAAATAGCCTAACTTTACACTTACTGATGGCAGTTAGGTTTTGGTGATAAAGAATACTTGTTTTCTCCCAGTTTGAAATAAAACTTTTAGAAAGATACAAATAGTGAGGGTATTTATTGGAAACTAGCAGCTTGTTCTCAAGAGAGCTGGTCAGTCTTCCTCTATTTGTACATTCCATTTACATCTATGCTGGCATGTTTTAACACTACAGACAGAAGAAAATCAGCATTTTGTTTTAAAGCACAGCTACAAGAGGAAATCATTACCCATTATTTCACCTATAATATTTCTAGCTGGGATTTTTTCCTTTCTTTTTTTTTTAATGGGAGAAAATAAACAAAAGATATTGCCACATATTTCAAACTGGAAGCTTTTAAAAAGCATCATTATATTTTTTTTTCTCTCCAGTTACAGGAGCAGAACAGCCCACAGGTGCTGTGTAGGGTATTTTGTAGCCTCATTTATTTCAAAATTAATCTCACCTGGCAAAGTAAAAACTATTTGCTATTCCCAGCAGTGATGACCTAAAAAGTCAGCATTAAACAGTATTTGTTAGACATTTTATAATGTAATCAGGCCTCTTTATTGATGCTTACTGCTGAGAAGGGCATAAAGGTTCTCCCAGAGAAAGTAGTGGAAACTCACTTTCAGCAAATCACTTAAGCAGGTGCTTATTTAAATATGTGTTTCAATTTAAGCAGGTGCTTATATTCCATCAAAGTAAACTAGTCTCAAAAATGTACTTCAGTGCTTTGCTAAAGCTGGGCTAGCACCTCGATTAAAGCCTAAATTTGCAAACACTTACATTTCTGGCTTTTCTCTAAAGCTCTTTGAGAATTTCAGAGCCCCAGCTTAGGTGTTATGCATCCGCAATGAACATTTCCTTCCTCCTTATGAAATCTCACTGGCTGATGAAGAAAATGTAGTTTAACATTAAAAAAAGATAAAACAGAAGTAAATATTTTTAATCTCTTCTGTATTAAAATATGCTGAGTTGAAACCAGCTTTCATTCCTCTAGCAAGGTGAATAACCATGCTTGTGAGGAAGATCAGTTTTCTAGAAATGCAGTGTTCTTTACCACTGAATAACAGCTGAGCCAGAATACAGATTTCTCATTTCTTGGGATCTGCAAAGGCCCCTGAACCTTTTCATAAGAGCCTCTGTCTCAGTTACATACCCAGCCCAGATGTCACTGTCAGTAACCACATTTCCCTTGATAAAATAGCCCATTTCTTCATTCACTTCAATTTAGAAAAATAGCTTGTTTATATAGTTTCTTAACCTCTGTGCTGGCTCAGAGTTACCATATTTCATAACATGAAGAAGGTCTGTTTAATAAATTCTTATTTCAAAATGTGTCAGATAAACTGATGGGAGTTATTCCTGCATGGTGATGGTAGAATTAATACTGGTAAAAATGTATAATAAATACATGTACTGAGCTATGCCTCTGCTACAAGGAGTTTTGTATATTTACATGTGAGTAACTGGGTAATGGAAAATTATACTTATGAAAGAAATGCAAAAAGGGAGGAAGGAAAAGAAATGTCATTACAAAGTACAATTCTTTGAACATTTTTGTGCCAATTAAACAGTGTTTGAGGGTTTGGAGATATGGTTTGCACACTTGGTTTTATTCTGATGTCTAAATGATTTTTTCAGTCTGAGTAATTTAACTTCCAAAAATCAATGTGTCCTCTGGATAAAGTCTTCAGGGTCATCAGACACGTAGATGTCTTTCTGTCTCAGACATCCTTCATCAGGGATTTGCATATACCCAGAAAGATCAAATTTCTAATTCCTAGAGCATTTGGGGATTTTTGGAGATGAAAGGCACCATTCAAATGTTAGCTATTACCATTGCAGGAGGCAATCTTTACTATCACAGTAGGGGTAAGTGCTATAATTAGTGCCAGATAGCGTTTCTACTGTTTTTCATTTATATTACTGACAGTTCTGAAATGATCTTGTGGGAAAAAGCAGAAATTATTTGAGAACCTATTCCTGACTCTGATCCCTAATTAATTGAATGTATTATCCCTTAGAGACATATACTCTTTTACCTGAAATATTGCAGTAGTTAATGTTAGCATGAATGACAGTATATTGCTCTTTATGTGCCATGGGACACTGAATGTGATACTGTACAATTTTAAACTTTTACTTTCCTTTGAACTTCCAGGTTCAAGGTGCTACTCATCCACAACTGTTCTGATCTACTGAGCAAGGTGTGTTGATTTCTGTAGCAGTCATTATTACTGCAATAAAATTGAGAAGTTTGAAAATATTTAACATCATTTGACAAACTCAGTTTACTTTTTCATCTTTTTTTTTTTTCAAAATAGTGGTGTATATGTCTTTTTTACTTGTATATTAAACTTGGCGTTACTGTGTTTATTTAGCTGCACTCTATAATATACAATTTATTTTAATACCAGAAATTCTCACCATGCTGAAGGAAAGTTTCTCCTCTTCACTAAAGCACTGAAAAAAACCTCAGTATGACAAAGACAACCATTAACAAAACTGCAATAAAATAAGCGTAACTGGCAGATTAAGGCTTTGTCATTCATCATTCAGCAAATATATTATTTACTGTGAAAAACAGTAACAGGCTCTTACAGGCAATTATTTTTGATAACTTGTAAGAATAAAATCCAGTGGGTGCCTTCCCATCTCTTGTCCCTGTAGCACTAACAGCAGTTAAACTATTTTGGCTGCAGCCTACCAGGTACTTAGGATCTCTAAGAAACATCTGTTTTCATGGAATCATAGAATGGCCTGAGTTAGGAGGGAGCTTAAAGATCATTTAGCTCCAAACTCTCTGCCATGGACATGGACATCTTTCTGTAGACCAGGGTGCTCAGAGCCTCATCCAGCCTGGCACTGAACACTTCCATAATGCCATTTCTGAGCAGGATGTGAATCAATATTAGGCACAGCATGCACTGTTCTGTATGATAGCATAGATCCAAGCCAAAGGAACATCTCAGATGACTCTTTTCTATGAAATATGTGACTATTTCCTATTTAACTCCTGACAAATCATTCAAACTGCTTAGATTCTTGTCAAATTATTTCAAATTTATGAAAGTTGAAAACACAAATGTGTGTGTGATTTGTTTCAGTGAAGTTTGAAAAATTCGTACTTCAATATCTTTAACATACCAGATATTGTACAAACTTGATATTGATGGGTAAAAATATTGATAATATTTATAGAAGCTGGGGAAGTTCTGAAAGCCCATCCTAATCCACTGACCTATTTAACAACTTGAAGGACTGTTGCTTTCCCATCATTATTTATCTAATCTAGCTTTCACTGTGCCAGAGGATATAACTTCCCTATTTTCTTATGAGCTTTATTGTCCCTTGTAAAGAAACTTTTTAGTCAAGGCCTTAGACTATATATCCATACAGAACACCCAAGCTAACTATTGGCCATTTCTCATTTAAAAACACCAATGGAAATTCACTCATATTTTTTATACTTTTGACATAGATAAGACATCCTTGACCCTCTGAACTTTTTGCACGCTTGTTTGTTTTTGCACTTCTGCAGATTCCCTAGAACAATTTGCTAACTTTTAACTTTGTATTCTATGGCTATGACTTATTATGCAAGTATCATACCCATTTTTCCAAATCATTTACTCCAAATGAGTCTGATGGTGTGCATGTATTGAAGATAGGGGTCCTATGGCACCATAGACTTTCATATAAAATGTCCCTGACATGTTGTAGGATACATATATATGTGTAGCCCAAAAGACATCCATATTGCATTGTAAAATAGTTTTCAACAGACTTTTCTATCTTAAGGTTTTTGATGCTCAGGATTTTCTCTCCAACTGAAGCCACATTTTTGGATGTCTTTCATATGCACAATATATTTATGTATGTCTCAGGAATTGTTAAACTTCAGTTCACTATGCATTGAAGGCAGCAAAATTGTAGCACATGCATTTCACAGACTGATTCTAAATTAAATTTTCCTTCCTATTCCTAGGCTTTTCAGGTGTCTTAATATACTTTGAGAGGGCTTGCAACTTCACAAAGTCATCAGTAGCACCGAATTTCATTAATAATGTTACCCTTTGGTTCAGGTTATTAATGAGGATGTTTAATAAGAACAGGCACAAGATCCTGCACTACCCCGTTATTAATAACATTAATATATTTAATACTTGGAAACCACTCTGCTTTTTTTATGACATACTATATCTTCTCCATTAGACTGCTGTACTTCTGTTGTGCAGCAAGCAATTGAATTTGGTACTGCATATTTTGATTTGTGCTAACACCTCTATACACTAATCCTAGTAATACACCTTACATTTATTTATGTCATCAATCAAGCTGCCCTTGCATCCTTACTTTTTTGCAAAATATGCTCATATGTTGCTGCTTCTGTATCATGAGTGGAGATTCATTTTGGGTTGATTTTTCTGCTGGCCTAGCAAAATTTTAGTTTTTGCAAGGTACTGTAAACATCTTTCATGACATATCTATTATGACAAATGTTAAAAACACTTTGCTATGAAGTGTACCTAATTTTTAATTCAATTTTATTACATACAGCATTCTCTGGAACCCTCTAGTAATTTAAAGTATCTGGTAAGCTCTGTAACACCCAGTCTAACACCCAAATGGACAGTCAAAGTTGCTTTCTTTTGCATTTAACGATGCACCTTCAGTTTAAATCAGAGCTCTGTATAATTCTCAGAACAGTTAAATGAGCCTGATTTCCATCATTAGCATGGCAGTAAACTGAAGCTCAAAGTGATTGTGAACAGCACTGCAGAGAAGTGCTTGGGCGTGGTAGTGGATGAGAAACCAACCATGAGCCAGCACTGTGCCCTCACAGCCCAGAAAGCCAAACCAATCCAGCATCCAAAGCTTCCAGCATGCAAAGGAAGGGTAAAGGAGGGGATTCTCCCCCTCTACTCTGCTCTTGTGAGTTCCCACCTGCCATGCTGCATCCAGCCCTGGTGTCCCCAGAGTAAGAAGGACATGAAAATGTTGGAACAAGTCCAGAGAAGGCTATGTGGTTGGTAGGAGGACTGGAACACCTCCCCTACAAAGACAGGCTGAGAAAGCTGGGGCACTTCAGCCTGGAGAAGAAAACATTGCAAGGAGACCTAATTGCAACCTTCCACTGTCTGAAGGGGGCCTAAAGAGAAATTGAGGAGGGACTCTTTATCAGGAACTGTAGTGATAGGATAAGGAGTAATGGGTACACATTGAAAGAGGGAAAAATTAAGTTAGATTTGGAAGAAATTCCTTACTGTGAGAGTGGAGTGGTGAGACACTGGAACTGTGTGGCTGTTGAGACCAGGTGACCCAGGGAGGTTGTGGATGCCCCAGCCCTGGCAGTGTTCAAAGCCAGGCTGGATAAGGCGTTGAGTGACTGGTCCAGCAGGAGGTGTTCCTGCCCATCACAGGGCTGATTGGGACTGGATAAACTTTATGGACCATTCCAGCCCTTAACATTCTATGATTCTATGATACTGGGTGATGTGCCAAGAATCCTGTAGCGAGCCAGTAGTAAATCTGCTAAAATAACTGAGAAATCCTCCCAGATACACACTGTATCTTCAGATCTTAGCTGCTTAACCTGTTACAATGTTACTCTGCCAGGTTATATGAAAGCATTCTAATTAATCATTATGGTTAAGTGGTTTTTAATTTTACAGGTACTTCTTTTGTGAAATTATTTCAACCACTTGCTCAGGGACCAAAAATTCTTTGTATTTACCTGTGGAGGCTGATTTTCCAGAAAGTACAGCAACAGATGACCTCTGTGAAGCCATGTGATTGTACTATAGCATTGGTATGAGCAAAAAGGAAGTAACAAAGGCCAAAGGAATACATTTTCTTGTGCCATTGTTTGTAACT